AATTTATGTGAAAAAGTTCGATGTAAAAATAACGGTGTTTGTGCTATCCAAAATCCAAATGGACCATATGAAGGTGTTTGTCTTTGTCGATATGGTACTTGGGGAGATTATTGTGAATTGACTGGTAAACATTTTTTTGCTATCTTACTCTCAAATTATAATTTTACTACAGGTACTTTGGGTTTTTGTGCGGCAAACCTTTGTTCAAATGGAGGAGCTTGTAGAGAAAATGTTATTGGCACAACACGTCATGCTTATTGTCAATGTGCACCAGGTTATAATGGTACTAAATGCGAGACGAGTATGTATTTATATTTGTTTTTACCACATGTGAAATTATTTTTGTTTGTTACAGATTATTTTCCCTGTACCACTGCTGGTAACTTCGCTGATACCGATATGTATGAGCAAGGAAAATATTTTGAATGTAAATCAGTATCTGCAGGTAAGAGTTTATAAACAATTTGAAGTTTCGTATAACTCACTGATTTTGTTTTTTATTCATAGCATTCCGCATCGAACGAAAATCATGCCCCAAAGGACTTCGCTATAATGCATCTGCAAAACTTTGCATGTATTAAGACACTTAATAATTTATTATTTTACTTACATGAAATCAATAGCAAGTATTTTTTTTCTGTGCTTTTAAATTATTTAAACAACATAATAAAATGAATTATATATATATATATCTTCACATTATCAAGTTTTACTAAACTTAAAAAAAAAGAATCTTGTGATTATAAATGAAATTTGTATGATTATGTGGAGATTAGCAGGAAGATTCACATAAATTTCCATTAAGAAAAGTCAATGAATATATTGATAAGTAATCGAAGTTAATCTGAATTATATTGTCAATGACATTTATCCGATTTTGAATTCTGAATTCTTTGTGATAGAAAAGGCTGAAAACAATATTCTCATTTATTACTTTCATTGTTATTGTTAAGATTAATGAAAAGAATTTCGTTCTTTTTCGATTACATAAATTTAAAAGATACACAAAAAGCCATAATAAACGTTATTCTAACGATGAAATGTTCACCTCATTCCAGAAAGTAGTGAATTGAATAAATGTATGTAATAATAAAGGATGATGATAAATGATTAAATATATATTTTAATAACATCGTTACGAATAGTTTATTTGAATAAATTCTTCTTCAATACTTTTTATTCCCTCTACTCGAAGCAAGGTATATGCAAAATAGGTTAACTACGTTCGTTTCTTCTTCAATTATTAGCTAGTGACAATGGTATTCACCAAACCTTAATCAAAGGTTATTGAAGGCGAAGAATGTGAATCTGAGATTAGTTCTCTGTGATCCATTGTGCTTCGCCTTTTTTGCTCCCTCTTTCTAAAAGAAACATGTGCGTATTTCTTTTTTTTCAAATCTTAATCAAAGGTAATGAATTGCATGGTGTTTGTGGGTGTGACATGTGTCATTACAGCCGTTTACTAGTTCTGTTTATAAGATTCAATAATGGTTACATTATAAAAACTCTAGTTGAATTAGTCGGAATAAAAGTTACGAATTCAATATCAGTTTTAATTAAAGGTTTTTCCGTTGTTGATTACTATAGATCATATCTTTCGATAGAATTTCACCAGAATTATGTGAATAAAAACGAGGGATCTGATTGCCACCCTTCTATTGCATCCTCATCGACATCAGTCATATAAATAACATTCCAAACATGTGAAGGACTATATTAGACGAATATGCTCTATTCGTAGCTGTTCATAAAATAGTACTTCCTCTTTTTAGTTTCATTTTAGGAATCGCATCACCAGAAGCTCATCGTGTTTTGGAGTGAAAGTGTCCATAGAAACGGCGAATCTTGAGTGGTCGAACGACTAGACGCTAGTTCGAAAGCTTAAAGTAAGTAAAATGAGTCACAGCGAAAGATCTTTTGAGAACTGATTCAATTAATGATCTAAAGCAAATATTTATCTTATCTTCAGCATGATGACGGATCTGCTCATGTCCTTTCGGTAGAAGGCTTAGGGACGTTTGCCTCGAGTTACTTGTTCTTTTATCATATTGATTTAAATATTAAAATATCTATATGAAATATGACGTTTATAATTAAATATTATATACAAATGCGAAAATAGTTGGTACTGTCCCATAATAGTCTAATTATAGATGAAACATTTGTAGGAAGTATATTTTGTATGTTGTTTGCTGTGAATTAGAAATTAACAAATATTATTTAGTGATGTGTGTATGTGAAAAATAAATAGTATTTAAGTTTTTTTGATATTTCATTAATAAATATTGTTCAGATATTTTAGAAATATAAAACGTATCCAATAACAGTTTATATTTGATATATATGTTATTACAAAAAGGATGTGATTAGTATATATTTTGATAATAAAGACTCATACTGATTCTTAAAATCATTCACATTTTCAAAACTCGTACAAAAATGAAGACAGTTATTATTATTTTTGTTTTTTGTCTCATGTTTTCATATGCATCTGCACAAGGTAAAAACAAATGACATATATCTGTATAGATAAATTTTTGTTTATACATTTTATGTAAGGTTGCAGTGCTAATCCATGCCAATTAGGTGATTATTTCAATGAGATAAATGGTTATCGTTGTATCGATTTGGGTGGTGATAGCGTTACATGTACATGTCCTGGTAGTGCATACGAGATTAATCAACCTTGTCGTATAAGAATAATACAATAAAATAAACATCAGAAGAAACTTACTTATATTTATAGGTCTTTGTGACAACGCAGACCCCTCAAAAGATGCATGCAGAAATCTCAATGGAAAGCTGATCAAGTGTCTTGAAAATACTGACTGTGGAACATCCTATGCATGTCTTTGCACAGCTAACAACACAGATGGTTTCGCGCTAACAACAGACGCTGATTGTGGTCAGTAATAAATAAAAACTTCTTTTCTACAAATATTAATTCTAATTATCGTTTTTATTCTTCGTCTAGATACAACAGTTCCATTGACATGCTCGTCAACAACAACAACAACAACAACAACAACAATAACAACTCCTTCAGGTCCATCACCATGCTTAAATGGTGGTACTTACGACGGCAGTATTTGTCAATGTCCACCTAGTACTTGGGGAGATTATTGTGAATTAAATGGTAAACATTTTTTTGCTATCTTACTCTCAAGTTATAATTTTATTACAGGCACTTTGGGTTTTTGTTCGGCAAGGCACTGTTCAAATGGAGGATTTTGTAGAGAAAATATTATTAATACAACGGTTTTTGTTTATTGTCAATGTCAACCGGGTTATAGGGGTACTAAATGCGAGACGAGTATGTGTTCTTATTGATTTTTAATAGATATAAAATCATTTTTGTTTGTTATAGATTATTTTACTTGTTCCACTGTTGGTAATTTTTCCAATACCGATATGCATGAGCAAGGAAAATATTTTGAATGTAAAATGATAGCTGGATGTAGGAGTTTATAAACAATTTGAAGTTTCGTATAACTCATTGATTCTGTTTTTTATTCATAGTATTACGCATCGAACGAAAATCATGTCCCAAACGACTTCGCTTCGATCAAGTCTCAAATGTTTGTATGTAATAGGACGTTAATAAGTTATTATTTCACATACGTATAATCAATAGCAATTATTGTTTTTCTGTGCTTTTGAATTATCTAAACAGCTCAATAAAATAAACTGAATACATATATCTTTACATTATCGAATTTGAATAGACTTAAAAAAAGAGTCTTGCTCCTACAAATGAAATTTGGATGATTATGCGGAGATTGATAGAATTATTCACATAAATTTCAACTGATAAAAGTCAATGAATATATTGATTTGATCATCATTTATAAAATATCAATGATACATTGAAAAGTAATCGAAGTTGATCGGAATTAAATTGCGAGTGGCATTTATCTCATTCTGAATTCTTAATGATATAAAGTACTGAAAACAATATTCTCATTCATTTCTTTCATTTGATTCGATTACATAAATTGCGAAGATAGAAAAAAAACCATACGAATTGTTATTCTAACGATAACATGTGCAGTTCGTTTTAGGAAGTAGTGAATTGAAATCAACCACACAATGTTTCAGCTGAATGAATGTATGAAATAATAAAGGATGCTTATAAATGATTAAATATATTATTTAATGTCATCGTTATAAATAGTTTATTTGAACGAATTCTTCTTCGATACTTTTTCTTTCGATCATAGGTTTGAGAAATGAAATAAAGTACTAACAATTAAAATGACTATTTATAGAAAGAAAATACACTGTCTTATAAGTGTTATTACTTTTTGAATTGCTATTCGCTGTTTTTTTAGGCTTCACAATCAGTGGAAAGTTGTGTAGAAACTATTTTGTTTTCTTACGAAAGAATATTGGAATATGTGATAATTATACATGCATATATATTTTAAATTGAATTGAAAATATTAACAAGATAAAGTCTTTTCGGAAATTTTCTATTCATGAAGAAAAGACAATTCAGAAACTATTTTATGTAGAATATTCATTTCATATATTTCTTTCTAGAATTTGAAAGTTTGTCACAGAGTTTTCACCAATAGGGAATTGTTTGTATAGATTTGTTCATATACAGTTAATTCTTAGTAGATATATCTCTATTTACACATAGTTTTATTTCATTGACTGTAAAAACCAAGTGCTAATGAGTTACAATCAGTTTTTATATGATACTATCTATGGTTGATTTGTTTAAGAATTTGGAATTTGCTCAGTATTTTAAACAATGAAATAGTTGAGAATTTTTTGTATTGAAGTGAAAGCCAGAATGCTGTTCTTTCAATGTATATATAGCTTGTAAATTTTCAATAAGTCAGAATATATTTTAAAATTTCTATGTGAACTTGTAGAAGTAGTAAGTTATACTAATAGAAAATTTTCATTTTCACTTTGAATTCGTACTTTAGAATTCTAGAAAACCAAATATTTCTAAAAGCATAAAACAATGACCTAGATACATATACAGCTGGTGCATACAATTGTCACAAATGAAAGTTAGGAAGAAGCAATAAAAAACGACGGAATAGAAGAAAAAAATACGATGATGTTATTAGCAAAGGATAATCGGTTATATACAAATATAATTAAATTTATTTAATCTTCTAGAAAACAAAAATATTCTTTTGATTCTCTTTAATAACATTCGATTCAATTATCGAATTTCAAAACTTCATAGATTCAATAATAAATCTTTTCAGTATTTATCCTTAAGCTGTTATTAGTAGTATTATATTATTTGAATTAAAACTATAATATATCGAAAAACAACTCACTTTGACTATTCTGAAGTAACAAATATTAACAAAAAAAACATGTTTCTATCTTTCTTTTTCGCTTTTTGATGGTTGATATTTTATTCTATTGTTATAGATAGAGATTTATGACAAAAACTTTTCTTTATCTACTTTCGTAAAATTCTATTAATTCACAGCGATGAAAAATTTATCATTCTGTTAAAGAATATTATATTTATTTTCTCTTTAACTCATCAATAAAAATAATATATTCATATACATGATTATGATATAGACTAACTATCCCGTTCGCTGCAAAATTTCAATTAACTAAAAAATTCAAATGTAAATAAAGTTTGTGAAATATAAAAAGTGTTTTACCCATGATAGACATTCAAAATAGAATTAAATTTCTAATCAAACAACATATCTGCATTATAATATTACTGCCAAGCACATAAAATTCAATTAAATTCATAATACTTTTATTCCGCATTGTTTTTTTCTTATATTTATTCAAGTATTAAAATATCTATATGAAATACGACATTTATAATTAAGTCTTAAATACTAAATGCGAAAATAGTTGGTACTACCCCGTAATAGTCTAATTATAGATGAGACATTTGTAGGAAGTATATATTGTGTGTTATTTGCTGTGAATTAGAAATTAACAAATATTATTTAGTGATGTGTATGTGAAAAATAAATAGCATTTTAGTGTTTTGATATTTCATTAATAAATATTCTTAGGGTGTTTGTGTAATATGATACCTACTCAAAAACAATTTACATTGGATCTATGTGTTATTAAAAAAAAAGATGTGATTAGTGTATATTTTGATATAAAAACACCCATGTTGTTTCTTAAAATCATTCACATTTTCAAAACTTACACAAGAATGAAGACACTTATTATTATTTTTGTTTTTTGTCTCATATTTTCATATGTATCTGCACAAGGTAAAAACAAATGACATATATATATATAGATAGATAAATTTTTGTTCATACATTTTCTTTAAGCTTGCAATGCTAATCCATGCCAATTAGGTGGTTATTACAGTGAGACGAATGGTTATCGTTGTTTCGAGTTAGGTGGCGGTAGTGCTTTATGTACATGTCCTGGCAGTGCATATGAGATTAATCAACCTTGTCGTATGAAAATAATACAATAAAAATAATTATCAAAAGAAACTTATTTATATTTATAGGTCTTTGCAACCGACCAAACCCTGCAAACAATGTGTGCAGAAGTAACAAGGGACAGCCGTTCTATTGTCTTGAAAATAATGACTGTGGGACATCGTATGCATGTCTTTGCATGGATACAACCACAGGAAATGCAGTACTAACAACAGATGCTGATTGTGGTCAGTAATAGATGAAAACTTACTTTCTACAAATAATAATTATAATTACCTCTCTTTTTTGTCATCTAGACACAAGAGTTCCATTGACATGCTCGTCGACAACTAGCCCTTCAGGTCCATCACCATGCTTGAATGGTGGTGTTTATACTGGCGGTATTTGCCACTGTCCATCTGGTTATAGCGGAACAATCTGTCAAGATAAAAGCGGTAATATCCTTTATTTTTACTAATATAACTATCATCTTCGTCATCTCTTTTGTTTTCCACTATTTGTTGTTCAGATTATAATTTATGTGAAAAAGTTCGATGCAAAAATAACGGTGTTTGTGCTACTCAAAATCCAAATGGACCATATGAAGCTGTTTGTCTTTGTCGATATGGTACTTGGGGAGAATATTGTGAATTGACTGGTAAACATTTTTTCGCTATCTTACTTTCAAATTATAATTGTACAATAGGTACTTTGGGTTTTTGTTCTGGAAGCTTGTGTTCAAATGGAGGAGCTTGTAGAGAAAATGTTATTAGTTCAACACGTCATGCTTATTGTCAATGTGCACCAGGATACAAGGGCACTAAATGCGAGACGAGTACGTGTTTATATTGGTCTTTAATACACATGTGATATCATTATTGTTTGCTATAGATTATTTTACTTGTTACACTACTGGTACTTTTATTGATGCTGATATGCATGAGCAAGGAAAATATTTTGAATGTAAACTAGTATCTGCAGGTAAGATTTTATAAACAATTTGATGTTTTGTATAATTTATTCATTTTGTTTCTTATTAGTATTACGCATCGAACGAAAATCATGTCCAAAAGGACTTCGCTATAATGAATCTGCAAAACTTTGCATGTATTAAGATGCTAATAATTTATTATTTCACATACGTATAATCAATAGCAAGTTTTTTTTATCTGTGCTTTTGAATTATCTAAACAGCTCAATAAAATAAACTGAATACATATATCTTTACATTATCAAGTTTTAGTAGACTTAAAAAAAAGGATCTTGCAGTTACAAATAAAATTTGTTTGATTACGTGGAGATTAGTAGAAACATTGATATGAATTTCAACTGATAAAAGTCAATGAATATATTGATTTGATTATCATTTACAGAATATCAATCGTATATTGAAAAGTAATTGAAGTTAATCGGCATTATATTGCGAGTGGCATTTATCTCATTTTGAATTCTTCGTGATATAAAATGTTGCAAGGAATATTCTCATTCATTGCTTCTACTGTTAGTGTTAAGATTAATGAAAAGAATTCCATTCGTTTTTCGATGACATAAATTTAGAAGATATATAAAAACCGCACGAAGCGTTATTCAGACAATAAAATGTCTCGTTTGTTTTAAAAAGTAGTAAGTTGAAATCTACTGAACAATGTCTGAATTGAATGAATGCATAAGATGAAAAAGGATGAATATAAATCATTGAATCACTTTTATATTATATTAAATACATATTTTAATGAATTTTTCTTTGATACTTTTTCTTTCGATTACAGCTCTGAGAAATAAAATAAAGTACTACGAATTAAAATTAATATTTGCAGAAAGAGAAGTATATTTCCCTAGGAGGATTATTATTTTGTAGAATGTAATTTATTCTGTTTTATTTTAAGACTTCACAATCGGTGGAAAACTGTATTGGAACCATGTTGTTTCCTCGAAGGAAAATGTCAGAATACGTCATAATTATACACTTCTATCTTCAAGAAATATTTGTTTCAAATTGAATTGAAAATATCAACAAGATTAAGTCTTTTCGGAAATTTTCTATTCATGAAGAAAAGACAATTCAGAAACTGTTTTATGTAGAATATTCATTCCATACATTTCTTTTTAAAATTTAAAAGTTCTTCACAGAGTTTTTACCAATAGGGAATTATTTGTATAGATTTGTTCATATACAGTTCATTCTTAATAGATATATCTCTCTTTACATATTATTTTATTTTATTCACTATAAAAACAACTGCTAATGAGTTACAATCAGTTTTTATATGATACCGTCTATGGTTGATTTGTTTAAGAATTTGGAAATTGTTCAGTGTTTTAAACAATGAAAGAGTGGATAATTTTTTGTGTTGAAATCAGCGGAAAAATGTTGTTAAGGGGTGATCCAAAAGTCTTGGTATTCGACGGAAATTGTTTTATATCTCTCCTACTGTAAACAAGAAAATGTCCAGAGTCTGGGATATAATATCTCCCTACTAGATAACTATCATTGTAAGTTTTTATAAAGATATGATAAACTATAGGGCAGATACATAATCTAGAATTCTGAGAAGATTTTTTCCCGAATAACTTGATAAAGAAACTGCATGCTTCATGATAAACTGCAGTATTTTGCGCTTATTATTGCATCAGAAAGGAAAACTTAATACATCATAAGATACACCACGAAAAACTCAATAATCTTTAAAAGAAAGCTCACTTAAGAATATTCTTTTCTTCTGAAAGAAAACGTAAAATTCTATTTAACCACTTTTCGACAATACGATGGAGGTGTTCGTTTTGTATCCTAAAAAATACTCGAACTTTGCTTTTCTTTAAGCGGGAAAGCGTCCTATTAAGTGAGCTTTGTTTGAAGATTATAGAGTTTTTTACGGTACATCTTATGATGTATTTAGTTTTCCTTTTTGATACAACAATAAGCGCAAAATACTATAATTCTTCATAAAGCACTCAATTACTTTATCACATCATCCGGAAAAGCATCTTTTTAGAATTCTAAATTATGTATCTGCCTTATAGCTTATGATATCGTTATAAAAACTTACAATGATAGCTATCTAGTAGGGAGATATTATATCCCAGACTTTGAACATTTTCTGGTTTATAATAGAAGAAATATAAAACAATTTCCGTCGAGTACCAAGACTTTCGCATCACCATTTAGATAGTAATTTGTGACAAAATCTTTTCTTTATCAACTTTGGTTAGGTTCTGTTAATTCACAGCGATGAAAATTTTATCATTTTGTTAAACAACATCGCATCTATTTTCTCTTTAACTCATCAATAAAAATAATATATTCGTATACATGATTATGACATAAACTAACTATTTTATTCACTACAAAATTCCAGTTGACTTAAACGTTCAAATGTAAATAAAGTTTGTGGAATATAAAAAGTATCTTACACATTATCGAAATTCCAAATAGAATCAAGTTTCTAGCAAGATAACCACAATTTCAATATATTTCCGCCCTTTATCTATGTTTTAATTGATGCAAGCAGTGTGCTAATCAAATAAGACAACATATCTGCATTATAATAGTAGTGACAAGCACATAAAATTCAATTAAATTCATAATATTTTTATTCCGCATTGTTTTTTTCTTATATTTATTCAAGTATTAAAATATCTATATGAAATACGACATTTATAATTAAGTCTTAAATACTAAATGCGAAAATAGTTGGTACTGTCCCGTAAGAGTCTAACTATAGATGAGACATTTATAGGACGTATATTTTCTATGTTAGTTGCTATGAGTTTCAAATTACCGAATATTAATTAGTGCTATGTATGCGAAAAATAAATAGCATTTTAGAAATATTCTTAGAGCGTTTTAGGAATATGATACCTACTCAAAAACAATTCACATTGGATCTATATGTTATTAAAAAAAAAGATGTGATTAGTGTATATTTTGATATAAAAACACCAGTGCTGTTTCTTAAAATCACTCACATTTTCAAAACTCGTACAAAAATGAAGACAGTTATTATTATTTTTGTTTTTTGTCTGATATTTTCATATGCATCTGCACTAGGTAAAAACAAATGACATACATATGTATAGATAGAGTTTTGTTCATATGTTTTGTTTTAGATTGCAGTTTATGCGAGTTAGGTCCTGGTTTCAATGAGAGAAATGGTTATAATTGTGTCGATTTGGGTGGTGATAGCGTTTTATGTACATGTCCTGGTGGTGCATATGAACTTAATGGACCTTGTCGTATGAAAACAATAGAATAAAATAAACATACAAAGGAATTGACTTATATTTATAGGTCTTTGCGAGCGACGAAATCCTGCAAACAATGTGTGCAGAAATAACAATGGAAAGCTGATCCGATGTCTTGAAACTAATGACTGTGGGACATCCTATGCATGTCTTTGCACAGCTAACAACACAGATGGTTTCGTGCTAACAACAGACGCTGATTGTGGTCAGTGATAGATAAAAACTTATTTTCTACAAATAATAATTTTAATTATCGTTTTTATTCTTCGTTTAGACACAACAGTTCCATTGACATGCTCGTCATCAACAACATATCCTTCAATTTCATCACCATGTTTGAATGGTGGTGTTTTTATCTACAATATTTGTCATTGTCCATCTGGTTATGGTGGAGCAATCTGCGAAGATAAAAGCGGTAATATCCTTTATTTTTACTAATATAATTATCATCTTGGTCATGTCTATTGTTTTCTACTATTTGTTGTTCAGATTATAATTTATGTGAAAAAGTTCGATGTAAAAATAGTGGTGTTTGTGCTATCCAAAATCCAGATGGACCATATGAAGGTGTTTGTCTTTGTCGATATGGTACTTGGGGAGATTATTGCGAATTAAATGGTAAACATTTTTTTGCTATCTTACTCTGAAATTATAATTTTATTACAGGCACTTTGGGTTTTTGTTCGGCAGGCTCATGTTTAAATGGAGGAGCTTGTAGAGAAAATATTATTGGTTCAACACGTTTTGCTTATTGTCAATGTGCCCCAGGCTACAAGGGTACTAAATGCGAGACTAGTATGTGTTTATGTTGATGTTTAAGACATATAAAATCATTTTTGTTTGTTATAGATTATTTTACTTGTCCCACTGTTGGCAGTTTTGTTGATGCTGATATGCATGAGCAGGGAAAATATTTTGAATGTAAACTAGTATCTGCAGGTAAGAGTTTATAAACAATTTGAAGTTTTGTATAATTCATTCATTTTGTTTCTTATCAATAGTATTACGCATCGAACGAAAATCATGTCCAAAAGGACTTCGCTACAATGCATCTGAAAAACTCTGCATGTATTAAGACGCTAATAACTTATGATTTCACTTATGTGTATTCAGTAGCAAGTATTGTTTTTTCTGGGCTTTTGAATTATTTAAACAATTCAATAAAATAAATTACATATACATATATCTTTACATTATCAAGTTTTACTAGACTCGAAAAGAAGTCTTCCGCATACAAATGAAACTTGAAATGTTGAAATAGTTGATAAAATTGTCGTGTAGTGAATGTTAAAATGCTTAATTTAAATGTAACTGTTAGAAAATTTGTTCAGTTTTACTTCGAATTGGTATATTAAATGTTCATAGAAAAATGAATAGAAGTTTTTTAAAAATATACTTTTGTATTGATTATATTTCTAGAAAATACTCTTATTAAATGAGAAAATACACCATATATTTGAAGTCATTATGAATCATTAATTTACACATAAATAACAGAATAAAATAAATCTAAAAAACAACAACAATAACAAAATTGTCAATGTGTACTTTTAGTTTAAGTCAAATGTAAAATTGATTGCATCATCATATGTAATTGATCAACTTGAACAAAACATTTAACTATATCATAAATTTCATTTGTTACTTTTTGTAATTGAAGACATGCTGTCACTATTTTCATATACATTAATGCCGCTTGTTGTTCATTATCATCACATTTGTCAATAACATAATACCATAGCAATTGTACATATTCATCATATGCATATTGTATCAATTGTCTTGATTGATCACTGATATAACCAACATCATATAATGAATCAGTTGTATATAAACATGGACAAAACAGAAGAACAATAATTAAAATTACTAATAATCTATTATCATCAGGTACAATATAAGAAAATAATGAATAAGCATCAGCTATTTTATTATTAATATTACATATACCAGGATGATTTATAAGAATTTGCATATCAAAAGTAGTATTTAATAGATATATTAGAATTGGTATAAGTACTTTTGTATTATATTTTAAAAGTATAAGTCTATCATCAATTGATAATTGTTGAAATTGAGATAATTGTTTTAAAAATGTAATTAAACATGATACAGGTACACAATATAAATTCAGAACATCCGTTAAATCTCGATCAAATTTAAATATAAAATCATCGGAAATTATTTGTTGAGCATTGTCATAAAATAATTCAAATAATAAATCAACTTGATTTATATCGGAATCCATAGATGATATTGAATCATGACGTATTTTAGATATTTTCTATAAAATAAATAATTTTTATTTTAATTACAATTTAAATTTCGATATTTACTTGACTATGTTTTTGTAATTGGTCAGATTGTTTTAATTTCTGTAATCGATTTGCTTCAACTAATGCACGATGACGTTGATTTTGTTCTTCAGTTCGTATACGTTCTTTAACCATACCCATAGCAAAACATTTTCGTAAACGACATGCTGTACATTGCCGACGTGTACGTTCATCGATTTTACAATTACCAGATACATGACAAAAAAATTGATTCTAAAATAATTCATTAAATTTTTTTTTCAGTAAAATATTTATTATTAAGAATAGACTTACTAACGGTTTAATACCATTTCGTCGAAAGAATGCTTTACATGATGAACACTAAACAAAAAAAAGATTTGATATGGTTAAAAAAAATATTAATAAATTTTGTTGTATCTTACTGTTAATACGTCAAAATTATTTCCTGTAGATTTAGCTCCACATATAGCACAACAATTTTTTCCATGATTTCTCTTACTAAGTTTCACCGGGAAAGAGTCTGATATATTACTAACATCCAAGGAAATATCATTATAATCATTACTGTGGGAATACATTGGTAACATTTAAGAATTAACAAATGAAAGTATTATCTAAAAATTAAGATATTTACTTAATGAATATATATTCAAAAAAGAATAATATAGTTATCATACAATCAATTTTTTTTAAACAGAAAAACAAGTAAACATATCTGTGTATATATATACTATGGTTTTTCAGCATGGTAATAATCGGTACACACATCCATTAATAATGTACAGAAATAGAATGTAAGGCAAGTGACAAAGATAGTACTAGAGGGACAAAAAAACGAAAGAAAAAAAATGTATTATTCTGAAATATTAATGATTTAAATAGAGCTTCTTTTGTGTTAAATAGCTGTTGTTGTTGCTTACATCATCGTTAACGAATGGGGTAGCATATGTGAAGCGAATCAGTCATTCATTATTTTTTGCGCATAACCATTTCCTATCCTTGCCTATACAAGAAGAAAGAGAAAGAAAACTACCTAAAGTGTGTTGTTGACAACGATTCGCCTACAAAGAGAAAGCATTGATAAAGAAAAAAAATATGCATTATATTTTTTCATCCAAAAAATAAAATGAAGAACGCAAGACGAGTACCCAAACGGGGTGACTCTTCTATATAACCTTTAAATAAATGACGTCCTGCAAGGACAAAATATACGATCACATAAATTTATGTACTCAGCAAATAGGGTTATCATTTAAAAAATTTTTATTCTTTTTTTTGTCAATAATTAATAAAAACCAAATATATATATTTTCCTCTTTGTCAAATTTTGAATAATGACTAATAAATATAAACACACACACACAAATGGAATTCATTCTTAAACAAATAAATGTTATATTTATATATATATATATGGCACAAAAAAAACAGACAAATGAAGCAAAGAAAAGAAGAAGAAAATTAAAGTTCAATATTTTTTAGAATAATTTTGCCATTTTTTTCAATTCTTTTTGTCTCCATGCTGGTTTTGATGCATATTCAGCATAAGTTATTTTGAAACGTTGAAAAAATTCATCATCATTTAAATGAATCTATGAATAAAAAAATACATTGATAAGTTTTACTATTTTATTATTAAAACTATGTTATTCAATTATCTAAAGTATCTCATATACAACCATTATTATTGATAAAGACAACATTATATTTATAAGGATAGCTTTTTGTATAGATGAATAAACAAATTGAATAACTAAGTATTTTCGTCTGATAAGCAATTGTATGTATCGGCTAAATTAGGCAGAATAGGACATTTAACGCCTACGTTCCACTTTCATTTTTACAAAAGATGTTTCTCCAGAATAAATTCTTTTGACATAGACATATGTAGAAATGTTGGTGCTTTCATTTACTACTTAGTTAAAATTAATTAACCAATTAGGAAATATCGATTGAACTATATGAGGAAAAAATCTAAAACTTTGTCTGTAGACTTTCGAGCCCTGGTCACATCTATGATAAAATTTTCCTCATCAAAACGGAATCACATCAAGTCGTAAAATCAAAATGTCTACCCTATCATTGTGTCAAGCTCTCGAGGAAGGATTTGTAACTTTTCTAATTCTTCTCAAGTATATTCGTACTCCACTACGTCACTAACCAAAAATAAATCGAATTTTTTTAAAAATCTGTACGTGATCCGAAAATGCTTTGAATTGTCTACAGATTGTAGAATCAAGTTTTCAGAAATGCTGTCCTTAAAAGTAACGCCGCCAACGCTAGTTTTTCTAGTAATAACTTCTTTCACAATGCCTATACGTATAATATAAAGAAATTAACTATGGGAAGATTTTTCATTCCGAACATATGCGTGTTTCAATTTTGTGAAGTCACGTGTCTAATAAACTTGGCTTTCTATTACTCCTGTATAAAGGATAATATATGAGATTTGACATTACTTCTCGTAATTCAGGATTAACATCTTCGGGCAATTCATCAGCTGGTTTTAATAATAAATCATATGGATATTTATTTACTGTTGCACGATTTGAAATATTTTGTTTCTAAATGAATAAATAAATAAATAAATTTTTTATAAATAATTTTCATTATCTACCGGTTTATCTCGAATAAGTTCAGCATAGATTTCTGATCGATTATCAGCATGTAATAATGATTTTGTTGTTTCATATGATGATTTTGACTAAGAGAACAAGAAAGAAAATTTTTTATTAAAATAAATTGATTTCTTTACTGTCCAATAATCTCTATCCCATGGACCAAAAAAACCAGTAAAATGTACTGGTTCATACAACTGTTTTGTTTTTATAATTGGTGTATCTGGATCACGATGACTTGGATCAGTACGTAAATAATTATAAGCAATTTGTTCTGCATCTTTCATTTCAGTTTTATTTGCATCTAAAATTTTCTATTAAATAAATAAAATTGAAAATTTTGTTTGCTTACTTCTACCAATCCATAGAAATATACTTGTCCATGCATCAAGTAACATAACATCATCTTCATCAAGATCAGCCTTAACAGAAGAAAAATAGATTATTTCATTCATACTATTGATGTATATATTTTTGATGGGAAAATTTTGAATTAACTAGATATTTTCTATGAATAATTATAGACAAGGAATTGAATTATGTACCGAAAACTGTAGTTCAATTTAGTGTATATAAACATATTACATACGCTTTGAATATCTTCCGTTAGATGTACTATTGGTAATTAATTTATTAGTCCGAGAATAAGACTTTTAATTTATATATATTCTTTCAATTATCTTGATAGAGGAGAATTTAATAATAATGAAAAATTATTCTCATCTTAATATAAAACGTCATATTATAATTTATATTATGTATTTATACCTGTGTAAAATTAGTTATTTCAATAGCAGTTGTATATCCACTAGCATTTGAGATTTCATAAAGTCTTGCAGGATGATCATTTGAACTAGTTAATGATGATTGATGCTCATCAATTCGTTTATCTGATGCATAAGGTTCTTTTCCATATGGAAAATGTTTCCAAAATTCATCTTTCTCCTGACCTTCGAATACCATACTTGGTTCTCTAAAAATTCATATAAAAAAGTAATGATTATTATTTATTGAATAATTGTTTTTTACTTTGATTTTGAACTAGCTACAACTTTAGACATTTCACGTTCATCACCTGTTGATCCTTTACCACACCATATATAAACAGATTGTGGTGTAAATAAAACAAAACAATCACTTGAATTCAATGATGTAGCACGCAAATCAACCTTAATAAATGAAATTATTTATTATCATTCAATAAAATCATATCGAAAATATTTCATATAAAATTCTCAAAATACATGTGTTTTTATAACACTAATTGACAACACTCTGTTTCATAGTATAGAATTTCCTGATTTGTAAGAAAAAAAATCTCAAATTCATGAAATATATAATCTTTACCTGTACAGCTTTTGTATCATATTTTGATAAACCTCGAACTTGAAGTAAATAACAATCCTCATTTTCACTGGTATTTTCATCTTGATATTGTAAATTTCTAAAACCACTTCGTTTTCCATGCTGATAAAGATAAACGAAAATATAATACGAAATGAAGTAATTTTTATGCAAAATCTTACTTTAAAAATAATCATTTGACCATGAAACATAGCCATAAAATGAAGTGGTTCTTTATCTTGTACAACACGTATAATTGTTCCAGTTCCATTGATTTTTTTATCTAATTCAACAGCACCAATTGCTGCTGCACCTTGTTCATCTATACTTGAATAATGACCTAACCAAAAATAAATTAATGTAAATGGACGTTGTTGATCATGATATGTATATTGTATAATAAATGAATCTCCCGAAAAGAATATTCCATGCATTGATTCAGGATATGGAATCATTTTAAATTGTTCTATACGAAAAATTTCTTTTTTTCCTGAACCATCATCAGGCATTTGAGTTGCAGCTGCTAATTGTGGATGTGAATGCATTGTTGCTGCATCAAATTGTGATGAAACCATTTTAGCTAAATATTTCAAATAAGATGTTTTTTTTTCTTAATCATATATTCTATTATTAGTATATTTATTATCATGCATACAGCAATAGAGCAATTTAAACCTACCTATTGATCTAATAGTCTGTGCGAGAAGAAGAAGAAGAAGAAGGTGAAATAATCATGTGCAAAAATAAAAAATCATCAATTATTATTTATTTACCAATATGTCCTTTTGTATAAGTTTTACCAAGACCTTTTTGACCATTGGAATCCATCCAAGTTTTAAATAAAGCAATAAATTCCATTGGTTCAGCACCATCGATAACACGACAAACTTTTGTACTTTTTGGATAACCTTTTTTTTGAAGAAAACCCTATATAACAACAGAAAATATTAAATTAATTTCTTTAATATTTTATGAACTCTGTTTTTTTCCACATTGACACATAAGTGCCATATGCTATCTTGGTTCTAATATCATTATGTAATTAAAAGTTAAATATTGAATACAATCGATTAATAGTACTTATGGTTCATTGAAAAAGTCAATGAACTGTGATTTTTACTGATCATAAGAAGATATTTAATTCAAACAATTTATATAAAAGACACGTACCCAGGTCAAGCAATCAGATAGCAAGATCTTGTAAGAATCGTATTTCTGATCGTATATGATCGGATGAAGTCAAACAAGGATCATACAAAAAATCGTGGTTCCTGATTTCTAGCATTAGTTCGTACTATAAGATTCTTATGCAGTACAATGCCACCATAATGTTCTACTGAAATTAATATTTTTTCAAAATCTCACTTAAAATTATTACTGAGAAAATACAATGCGCATAAGATATTTTAAGAAAAACATGGTATGACTTGATACACGATTTCAGGAACCACGATTTTTTGGCAGATTCTTGTACGATTTTGCAAGATCTGACGTAAGATTTTTTGGCCTAGGTAATTGCTAATGTTCAATGAATATGTTTCAGAATAATCTCTCAATAGAATTTCATTACAAGACTGTATGATCAGTTATTTAGAAAAATAAACAATATCCAATGATAATCTGATGGATATCCATTGTCTTAGGAAAAGAACGTTCATTTTGATATAGATATATTCTTACGTTCAATAAAAACCACATGTTATTAATTACTACCATTCTTGAATGATATGTGACATAATCGAGTTCATTAATCTTTTGAACAACGAGTCATGTTTAGTCAAGCGTTATAATATTAATTAAACATTTTTTTAAAGAGTACATTCAAAGAATTCTTCGTAGAATATACAATCACTAAAAGATGATGTCATCTCAATAGATTTTTTTGTTTTCAGATAAAAGAACTAATATAAATAAAACATAGTAAGTATGTTCTATTGAATTTCGACATTATAAATATTTGAAAGAAATTATCGGGTAACAAGTATAGCGACATACATTATCTCATTCTGTCATTTTTAATATGTTCAAATGAAAATCAAGCTTATTATATGTTCTAACTTACAAGAGCATTACGCATAGCTTCTCGTCGTTCTTTTGGATTTGATCGTCGTCCAACCCATACCCATATTCCATAAGTGCCATTATCAACAATATATGCATCCTTTGAATGACAAAAAAAAGAACAGGCATCAGTAATATAATTTAATGATCCTATTTAAATACTAACTTCACTTTCAAGATCAGTTTTAATTAAAGGTCCAGTTTTTTTCTCTGTTACTTTTAATGTACCATTTTCATCTGAACATTTATAAAGTTTAATATGTGCACCATCTAATCGTTTATCATCATCATTCTCATCCATAGTATCATTTAAACTTAATTTTGTATTTTTATCTTTTAATAATAATTTACTTTCAAATAATTTTAATTCATCTTTATGCATTTTCATTTCTTCACCATCTTCAATAATAACAATATTTGCTTTACCACGTTCATCACGTAATTGTCTAGCACGTTGTATTGCTTGTAAACGTTCATATTTATTTGATTTAGCTCCATTCCATAGAAAAATAACTTCAGTTAAATCCAATAAATAAACATCACCACGTGATATATATGACCAATCAATTGATGGCATTTCATAAAGACGTACAGTATGACGACCTTTCAAACGAAATAAACGTGGTTCATTTGTTGATTGATGACGATGAAAACCCGATGCAATACCACCTTGTCTATATGTAACACCACCACGAGATTTAAAATAAGATAAAAAACGTTCACTTTCATTTCCTTGAACTTCTCGATGTTGAACAGCATTACCAGACAAATGATCATCTAAATTATAAGAAAATAATACATTTATTTTAATGATTACATAAAACAAAGTAAATGAAGCGTAGAAAAGTCAAATAATGATTATTGATCATCATGAATTATGAATTTGCAAGGTCTAAGATTATATTCAAGGATAACTGTCAGTTATAATTTCTCCATCGTCATCATCAAAATTACTGAAAAAATATCAATAGAAGATTTCTGTATCGCAAAAAACTTCATTTATATATTTTATGTTTAAGTTTATAAATATTTAGATTAGACTAAATTGATCCTATATGAACATTGATCAATAATAAAGTTTTCAAGGACAAACCATTAAGGTTATATTAGCTATAGAAAATAATTTGATTCTATTGAAACTAAAATGGCATTACATTTATGTTGTTTCCTGTTCGAGATTTGATCCGTTTTATGTTATCATAACGTGTTTTTTCTATATTATCATGATAAATTTTTTGCAAATAATTTAACAAGTAATATGAATCATTATTTAAATAAAATTCTCACAAGTTCCTGTTGAAAACAAAATTCTTGTATAAAACTTGTAGACAGTTAATTATACACTAAAACTATTCTATTATTCTTTTCAGGATATACTTTCTCCATTATAACGAGAAACAGCTAAAAGGCATTGCAATGATTTGTTCAAATTTTTTCTCTTTTATTTTCCTTCGTTAAATTTACTATATGTAATAGACATTATTGTTCAAATTAGTAATAGTTATTTATTTTCAAAAGAATAACACTTTACTAAAGTTCAATTAAATGTATACTCTCGAAAAAACGAAAAGCAATCTTCTCTTTTTTTTATCGCATTTAAACTATAATACTTTTTAATAATATCCTATTTTACTTATAAATATACTCGTTTTTTTTCTATATATACTATTTGCTTAACATTGAATCAACATATGACATTGCTGAAATAAAAAATAACATCAAATATATATAAGACAGGTTTTACTATATTATTTAAGAAAAATGTTTTATCGTTAATAAAATCTAAGAAAATATTTTGTCTGTTTTTTTTTAATTAAAAAGTAAATCCTACCTAATTCAACAGTTTTATATGCAGCGACACCGGCTTCATCTTGTGTGGCTTCAGAACCAATCCAAAAATGAATATGTTGTACAACAGTTGAGGGTATTGTTGATAATGTATTAGTAGATTTTTTTATTTCTTCGGCATGATAAATAACATAAGCATCACCTTTAAAAAATATTCCAAATGATTCACGTGGTACAGCGACTAGTTTAAAATTCTATTTAGAAAACACTTGATAAGTTATTTCTTAATAAAATCAAATAAATCAACAAACCTCAACACGCCATACACATAAACAAGTTTTATTTTTTGGTATTGTTGCAAACACTGGATCAACGTCCATTCCACCACTACCATTACCAATACCACTATCCGATTCACTCATTCTTTCACACACACATAAATATATCAGACAAGTTTAATCTAGAAAAAGAAAATATAATTTCGACCTTTTTTTTCTATATCTGTCTGTTATTCGATCTGAAGCGCGATTTGTTTGAACTCATTTATATAGACACGATGGTAGTGGCGGGCAGCAATAATAGCAATAAAAAATACTGAGTCTATTACCATCACCACCGTCATTTCTTCTATTCTATTACTCGATACTCTTGCACGTTCGTTCAATATTGGTACGAGAGGGAGAGAGAGAGACAGCATTTACGATGGAGAGTACCTACCTTTTTCTCAATTCTCTTTTTTTCTCTCTCTTTCTATCGTTCTCTTCTAGCTTAGTATGCTTGCTATGGTGTTAGTTTGTACGACGTTACTTTCTTCTCATGCCGATCAATTACAAGCGTACACGAGGTCCAAACAAAAACATCACATACATGTGTATATATATTTATATATACAAACCACAATCGTGTAAAGCTCGAAGAAGAGATTTAGCTACACTAACAAACTATGTCACACCTATTTCTTCTTGTGATGCAATATTTGGAATATTTGATAAAAAAAAGAGGAAAAAAAAGTGAGAAAAAGTAAGATGAATATTTTTTCTCGCCTTTTAAATAATGCAACTGATGCCATTGAAATCACAACAGGTCGATTTTTATCGAAGAAAAAAATATGTAAGAAAGAAAAAGAAAATGATCTGTGAACAGCTGTTCACTTCTAAATTTACTGACATTCACAATAAAATCATGCAAACATTGACCCATAAAAAAAGGAAATCTTTACGTACAACAAATGTCAATGATGAAGAAGAATGATGACAATTCAATTAGTATACATTAACAATTGAGTAAAGTTGAGAAAAGAGAAAGGAAGGTGAGTTTATATCGCTTGGTTGGTCATTCTGGGCATCATATGAAATGAAAATTCTACTCGATTGATAGATGTCGACAATGAACTATAGGATATATGATATATCATGCTTATAAAATGTTTCTTTTTAAAGAAAACTTTACGGAGAGAATTACAAACGCTGACAGAATCATAAAAAAAACCAACGAGTTACTAGGCTTCATCCATAATTAAAAGATAAAAATCTAACGTTTGATCATATATTCACATTTTTCTTTAATATCATTCTTATCAACAAAAATTTATATAGCTTACAAATGAAAAGATTCTTTCAAGTGTTCAATACTATTACGTTACAATCCGACTTAAACAACACGATAGGATTGAAAATAATGATCTGGAAATATTTTTAAACATCACATCAAATGGTAATATAGTATTGATCTTAATCTAGATTTCGTTCTAGTTCTAATCTGACTAGGATAATACTTTTACAATAAACCCTTGCTTTGATTTTAAAATAGTTTATAGATAATTTTTATAATTATCAATACAATATCAAATTACATAATAATAAATATAAGAAGATCTTATTGTATAGATACAAAAGATTGTTATACGATGTAATGTTATTGACTTGGGTCGGATATAAAACAACAAATATGTAATGATTAACAAAATGAACATCGACTAATAAAATCACGCTCACTATATTCATTTCATTGTTAACAAGATGTAAATATTAATCTTATTATAGTAAAAGGTCTAAAAAAAGGTTATATTTTATTAATTATCACTGTTCTAGTGAAAAATTCAAAAATATATCACAGTATAAATGAAATGAAAAATTGTCTTGAATTTAGGTCAATGAACTAATTTAGGTCTTTTTTTTTAACACCGGTAGTTTTATCTGCTGTTGGATAAACAAATTCGTATTGAAACTGTACTTTTTGTTGTGGTTTTGGTGGTAAATATTTTTTTAATTTTGAAATAAATTTAAAAAATGTATTGAATGATACAGGATGTTCATCTTTTGGATTATTAATCAATGCATACATTTTATCAGGTACTGTTTGACATGACTGACAAAATTCAATTAATGTTTCACCATCCATGTCTTCACAAACATGTTGTAATTGATCAAGTTTATTATCAACTAAAAATTCCTGGACATGTTGACTGTTCCACCCTGATGCAGGACCAACATTTAAATATTCTGTTGTTTGAATAGGAGGAGGTGTTGGTGTTTCAGTTTCGTCTTTAGATTTTTTACGTTCCGGTGTATGTATAGATGGAGCTCGCGAAGTTTTTTTACTTTCTTGCTTCTCATCAGTATCACGCAATCCATTTCTTTCAAGTTCAGCTATTAATAATTCATATGCTTTATCAAATTCTTCACCTTCTTTATCAGCAAAATCCACATAAATTTTTGATCCAGCTAAAAAACCTAACCATCCATCAGCTCGATAATTTGCTTCGACCATAAGTGGAACTATTTTACTTTTTCGATTAAAGGCATATTCTGCTTCAGCTTTACAATTAACACTATTTTTATAATTACTTGACATACAAATAAGTACAAATCGTGAATTTTCAATAGCTTCTGCCATTCTTTCAATAATTGATCCATGCATTTCATCTCGATCTAACCAAACTTTATAACCATCTTGTTCTAATCGATCATTGACTTTATGACATAATGGTTTTTGTGCCCAACAATATGAAATCATAATATCAAATTGAGATGGTTTTGCTTCAGAATTATCTTCTGATTTATTCTCCTTTTTATTTTTCTCTTTTTCATCTTCTTTTTGTTTAAATTTTTCTTCGCCTTCTAATTTCCACATAATACCATGTGCAACTTTTGATACATCTGCTTTTTCTGATTCACGTAATTTTCTAACATGTTCAACAAAATCTTTATCTTGATTAATAACTTTTTTTGCATCACCATTAAATGTCATCGCATATGTTATTTCTAATGGTAATGGATTATCATCTGTTTGTTTAGCATATTTCAGTATTGATGGTAAACCATTTTGTTTAACAATTTCTTGTTTTACTTCATCATTATTTACCAAACCTAATAAAAAATAAATTTTAATACAACAAAAAATAAAATAACTAAATTCAGGTCAAGTTAAGTATGCTCCAATTTTGGAGTTTATGGATATCTAAATTTTCGCGAGAAACTCCACCTGAAAATTATAATCATCTGTTTTGACTGCTCTAATAGATACTCTGGACTGTACTGAGTCGACTGGTGATGCTCAAGAACAAAAAACACATAATTACAAGCCACAACTTGTCGAAAAACTTGAAACTCGTAAATTCCGAAATGGGAGCTCACTTAACTTAACTCTAAATTCAAAAAATATTTACTTTTAAGTCCACTTAAAATTTCATCAACTTGTTCATTTTGTCCATTTTCAAGTGCATTATTAATATTATTAACAAATAAACCAGTTACTTCTTCAGTTTTATTATCTTTTGAAAATTCTTCTTCTGATAATAAAAATGCTTTTAATTCTACTGCTTTTAACTGAATACTAGTATTGTGTTCATTTTTTGATAGATTATCTAATTCTTTGATTAAATCTTCCTTTTGATTCGTCATATTTTTTAAACGATTTGCCAAATTTTTATCCGATCGCATTATTTCAATTAATATACAAAGTGATGTATAGATTAATGAAACGCGTACTTGTTTAATATTTGGATCTATTGTGGATTTATTTAAAATTATAGTTAAAATAATTCCATAGATAATTTCTCGTTGTTCAAATGTTAATGTACGAATATTAGCTAAAATAAATTTTATTGGATAAATCAAACATAAAATAACTGGAATTGTCCATTGATTAATATGAGGAAGAAATTCAGCATATATATCATTATAATGACTTAACATTTGATTAACTATTTTTAAACAATGACTTTTATCTTTATCACAAGTAAGAATATAATCTGGACATGTAACAAGAAGAAAATGTTGAGTAATTGTTAATGTTAATGCATTAACATCACTTAAACGATATAAAGCTTCAACATAAAAACGACAAATTACACATTTAACTAGTGTATCAAGTAATTGTCGACATTGAGCATTTTCAAATGCTTGAATAAGCCAATCAAAGGATTCTAAATTTGGATCTTCTGTACCACCAATTCCAATATAATAACCATAGGATGCTATTTCATTTAAACATTTTTCAGTAAAATTTATTAATTCAGTTTGTTGATTAAGCCATTCTTTACTATAAGATTGTGTTTGAGTTAGTTTAAGAACAAATACTGCACAAGCTCGAAAAATATCTCCATTTTCTTCACTTAATGTACCATCATTAAACCAATTTTCTAATATTTTACATAATTCTCTTGAAAAATAGTGTGTAAAAAATGCGTGTTGTTTAATTTGTTCATCGGTTATTGTTGGTGGTGATTCTTGTTGATTATAATTCTTACAAATATCGATTACAGTAGACTTTTCAGTAGTAATCTGGTCTAATAATGTTTCAAAATTATCCTCAGCCATAACGAAATATTTCGCATGTAAAAACAGCTATTGTCTCGATTATTTATATTTCACGCTCGATAAAATTCACCTTGATGATTATTCATGGACATTTAACTGATAACAAGTAAGACGAGTCTAAGAAAAATATTACTCCTGTAGTTATCACAATATCAGAATGATTTGTGTTATTAATTAATAGAAAACTAATGAGCATATGTATCGTATAAAAAATTTTTATTTTCTCTAAGAAACAAGTATATTGGAAAAAAAATATTATTGATAAAAACATGATTATGAGTCAATTTTGATGATTGTAAAATTTTCATAAATATTATTCAATGTCTTTTTAATGTGTATATATATATGAGAAAAAACGATAAAATCTAATTTTTTCGTTTATATTAAAAACAAAATGTATGTTCCTATGACAAACTAAGCATATAGTTAGAATATTGGACTATGATTAATCACAAACTAACTCACCTTAAGAAGTTTGATTGATACTTTTATTTACTGTCACATGAATGACAAATACTCGTTATGTATTAATGAATGATACACTCAATGAAGAAAATAGCCAATACACATTAATTATTGACATATTTTTTTTGTAAATATGTTTCTGAATAAAAGAAAAACAAATTATATGGTTAATGGTGATTTAATAGCTTTTGAATGTGACAGTTTCAGGTGGTTTTGGATTTTTAATATTTAATTATTCAAATAGAAAGTTTTAAAGTATAAGAAATATTTATAGCAATAATAATCATGAAAAAATTATCTGTTAATCATTCACAATGACATATTTCAAGATAAATAAGCGCTCATAGGTTTAACTGTTTGGAGGCGGGAGACGTATATTCACATCTGGTTTTGTATGAATGCAACGAAACTTGTGTAGGCCGTTTATCGTGCGATTGTAATCATACATATTAGTGTAGACTATGAATATGTCATCATTAATATAGCATAATATTACTATCTGTACAGTGTTTACATTCAGTCCCTATGTAATGAATATATGTTTTTCAACATATAAAAATGATTTTTTTTCCAGTAATATCAAGGAAAACTACCAAAAAAGACGAGTAATAAGTTCTGATAAATTAGTAATGATGTAAATTTATATGTGTGAACAACTTTCGAGCAAATATAGAGTTTGATGTAATTAACCGAAGGTCGCAACGTTCTAAAAATATTTGTTGACGACTTACATTATATATATTATTCATTAATAAACTTATATAACATTTTATTGTTGAATTTATGATAAGAAACTGTTGACAGTACTACAAGATTTTCTTCTTGTTATTATTACTTTCCAACTCATTATACTGATATTTCATACGAATTGAAGATTTATTAAGTATTTATATTTAACCAGTTACAAACTGCTCATTTATTTTTTAATAAATAAGATATATGATGATCACATTTATCTAATGAAATCGTCCTTGAAGATTTTTTTACTAATTCACGTGTGATTATCAAATTGTTGTGCAATCTGTTAACCCTACGGGGAACAATAAATCTGCGTATATATATATATATTTATCTGATGAAACATACTGCAAGACTCTCGTCAAGTAAAATATTAAAAATTATTCATTTTAATCAAGTTTTATATAAAACTAAAAGACAATATCACAAAAATTGTTCTGTATATATTCTATAGATAAATAAAATCAAGTTATTTCTTATGTCAATAATAGTCTCGAGTAATCGATCTTCAAATAACCTGAAAAAATATCTCCTTATCCATATTTATTTGATTATTTTTATTTTGTAATACATTAAAATTTTGCATTAAAAAAAACAGAACAAAGCAAAATATAACTACACAATATGTATTAATTTATACTCTTAAAACACAAAAAAAAGAAAAAAAAAAACTTGTAAATATTGTAATTATTGTCAAAATAAAAGTTAACACAAAAAAGAAGAAAAAAGATAGAGTAAGAGAGATCCAATGAACATGCACATAAAAACATATATATTTATTGTGATTAATACTTAAAGCTGTACAAAGAAAATAGTTGTACGAACAATATTATTAGAAGAGAAGAAAAAAAACAGACGAGATTCATATTGCTTTAAAATTTGCAATCTTTCCACAGTCCAGTAATAGAATTAGATAACACGATTTTAACAAGCACATGCTGGTTTTTCTTCAGTTGGTGATACTACCGGTGGTTGTCGAACAGGAAAGATCGATTTATCTATATATACATAAAAAAAATTAAAAATAAAAGGATGTTTTTATAGTAAAAAAAGAAATTCCCCTGAAGTCTTTGATTCTACATTTTTCTCATGAGCATAATGAGACTCAATTAACATATTTAATCGTTTAACTTTAAAAGCCATAACATGCATCCGTTCGAAATAAAATATATTTGTTGTCAATAAATAAATATAACAAAAAAGAAAAAGGAACCAATCACTCCCATGCTAATATAGATAATCTTATCAATTCTTTACTTACGCAATTTGGACTTTGTTGATAAGAAATGAATCTGAGCTAGAAAGTGATTTAACTATACTAAAGAATTTATTTTGAATAAATGATTCAGTATTAAAAGCACTTAGCAGAGAATATTTATATGTCCCTCTTTAGAAGATAAACTATACTATTTAATCAGTTGAAGACGTAATAAGCGTACCTATTGTTTTTTCCATTCGCATCATAACTTTTTCTAATAATGTTTCTATAGTTTCTTTTACATTATGTGCTGTAAAAGCACTTGTTTCAATGTATGGTAATGAATATTTGTCGGCTAATTCTTTACCACGTGCTTGAGAGACAACACGAGCTTCTTCACGATCAGCTTTATTTCCAACTAATATCACATCGGGATCTTCACAATAAGCATGGCATTGTAATTGAGCAAGCCAATTTCGTACATTTAAAAATGATTGTTCAGATGTTAAATCAAACATTAAAACAAAACCCATTGCATCACGAAAAAATGCTGTTGTTAAACTACGAAAACTAGAAGAAGAAAAGGAAAATTCATTTTGATTATTTTTCAAAATGAAAAATCCATCTAAATATCATTACCGTTCTTGTCCTGCCTATAAAAATAAAACAAGATTAGAAAAATGAACACAATTCATTGATGAATTTACCGTATCCCATAGTTGTAAATGAATTCGATAGGGTTTTGCATTTTGAGGTGTTTTTGGTCGATAAACAACACGTTTTTCACGAAAATCAATACCAACAGTAGAAATAAATTTTGGATTAAATTGTCCATCAGTATATTGATAAAGAAATGTTGTTTTTCCTTATAAATAAATAAGAAAGAGAAAATGTTTATCAATAATAATCTAATCAATAAAACATACCGACACCAGAATCACCTAAAGCAAGAAATTTGATTAAATAATCATATTCAATCGATGGTGCTATCATTGAATCTCCCATTGTTGTCTGTTTTTCTTTACTATCACCAGTAGTCGGTGACTGATGGAGAGACGTCTTGCTGTTAGTGATATAATTTCTACAAAAAATTGTTTAAAGAATAAAAATCCAAAGAAAAAAAAATATATATGTCAGCTCTGTTCGAATCTATTTTTTTGCCTCTATATACAAAAATCGCTAAAATGATTGTTCGGTTGAGACTAATCACAAAGAACAAAAAAGGTAGAAGAAAAAAACCGATATTCACAATTATTTTAACTACCAACCAGCCGCAATTTTTTTATAAACGAATACGATTAACAACAGACCGATATGGGTTACTTTAGTTTTCTTTTTTTTTTTTTTCTTTCTTGATTTGTCATCGTATGTATACGTAGAAAAATAAAGAGAAGAAAAATAGGACCTTAGTTAGAAAAGAAGAAAGAAAGAGAAAGAAAGAAAAAGGAAAAAAAAATGGTGCAATGAATGAATATAATAGTGAATGATTCCCATAGGAAAAACGAATAAGGCAGTTTGCTTGTGCGAACAATAAATTATCATTTATCGTTATCTACTTTTTTTTGTTTTTGTTATTTGACAAAAAAATCAAGAATAAGACGGTGTCGAAAAGGGCTGTATAATGAAAACTATCAATGTAAAAGATAATTATCATTATTATTCATTGTTCTAAGATTGAAGAAAGAACCGAACGCTAGTAGTAGTAGTAGTAGGAATCCAACGCGAAAATAAAATTCAATCACATATTTAACAAATAAAAGAATTCAATGAATACGAAAATAAAACAAACTGCTCTTCTTATGAAAAACGATATTTTAAAAAAAAGAAAAGAAATCCATAACCAGTAAAAATATTCACATGAAATATACACAATAAAAGTTAAGTTTCCATCGGTTCACTTTCAAATATAGGTCCATTATAATTAGACGTTGATGCATTTGAACTAGTACGACTAAAATCTATATGAAATAAAAAATAATATACGAAGTTTAGTTTTTGTTTTTTTCTTTATAAAAATTAACACAATTACTTTCGAATGTTGATACAAGAAATCTCATGAGATCAGACATAGAAAGAATGCCGATAATATGTTGATTATCATCTACTATAATCAGTCGATGAACCTATATAAATATTTTATATTAGTATTGAAATTGTAAGAAAAAAATAAGGATATTCGTGTGGGTGTAAAATAAGAAAGAAAATCGTGGGTAGATGTCTTTTGTATTGTAATATGAATGACAATAACAATCGACATCGA